GGTCTGGTGAGTTTCGTAAAAGAAGGTAGTGGGTGATCCAGTATTTTATGCAATTAAAATTAAACGAGTTTTTTTTCTGTGATGCGACACGGTAAATCTCGTTTTCTCGCGAGAAAAGCTCAAAGTATAGTACGACCATGAGTTTCTCTTCTTTTCATAGGCTGTTTCCACCCACGCAACGTCGCTCCTGAGATTTTGTACTGTCGAATGAATTCCATGTTAAAAAATAAAAGAAAAACGGAGCGTGACGAGTTGCCTAGCTTGGTAACTTCCACCTCGACGCCCGAGATTTTTCATTTTCACGCGTTAATTCGCTTATGCGAGTTATCTACATTGAACGCAGGGTTTAACCCTTATCACTTCAACCGGCAGTAATTCTGTCAACCGCAGCTATTTTTTTATAATACGTGACATTTAAAAACATTGTTATACAATTGCTACGATTGCACGTTACGTTTCGTAACAACAAAAAATATTTGTATTTAAAAATATATTTATGTGTTATAAAAATTTCAAAAAATTCGTTTCTCTGTTATTTATTTGTTTTAATATTATTTTAAATATGTATTCAGTATTTGTAATAAAATTTCAGTAGCTCTTGGTAAAGCGATGAAACTTTATGAATAGACGAAATTCGATGCGATGCTTACATTTTATTTATTTATCTTCAACAAAATATGCGTATATATATATATGTATATTCGTTTATTATTTTACAATATACTTTAAATTAATTAACATTAATATTGTGGATCAAATAAACGGAAATACCTAAATCTTTTAAAAAATAAGTAATATTTTTAGAACGATAAGTATTTATACCGGATATTTTTCAATCTTTTTGTTATCAAAAATGTATGTAATTTATAATTATAATAAGGATAATAATCGTAAGATAGAGACAAGATAGCTTAGCTTTATAAAGGAAACGAGATTATCTATTTCGATTCCACTCACGAAACATAGGTATCAAGTATCGATCGTAAGGCATAGGAACACGAGAAAAGGAAAGACTTTCTCATTGTTAGGAGACATAATCCGAATGAAATTGGATGGTTAGTCGGTCCATGAAATCAACCATTGACCACGATTACCATTAACAGGTCCACCTGGTTAATTCGTTACGCGACTTCTTTCTCGTTTGAAATTCCTCTTTCATTGAAAGCGATCTATTCGCTAGTACATATACACTTGTTCCTAATTGAACTTAAACTTTAGAAATGGTAATATCGACGTTGACGAAACGTTTATAGAATCTTAACTATATATTTAGATATTTCAGGAAGTAATCATAATCTTGACAGATTTTTATTCGAAACAATACAAATTGGAATTGTTTTTTATTTCAACTTATTCAAATGAATAATTCCAATTTTTTCGTGGTCAAATATTTGTTTGTAATAACAATAGAAAAGGATTGAACTTGAGTAATGGTAGTAAATTTAATTGTCTTTTAACACGGTTAATTTGTTCCGTTTCTTGCTGAAACAGTGAGATGGAAACATTTGTGCTATATTATATAAGTGTTGTTGAAGTTTATTAAATCTTGATATAGGGAAGCCGCGTTAAAAAAATATCGTGTTTAGAAAAGCTATCATAGTTTTTTCATCGTGTTTGTTCGAAATTTTGTGAGGATTGAGTGTAATAATAATTAATATAGTAATCATGCGAACACCTGATTAGATCGATTATTTATCAAACGCGTTTATGAAATAAATGAGGCAAAATTTAATAAACTAAATGTATATCTAAGCTGATACAGTTAGAGATCTATAATCATCGTTTGCCGAAAATTGACGTCATTTTGTTGTATATATTGTTACAAGTTTTTAATTAGAAAATCGGATCGACAAATACGAAAACATCTACATGTGCGATTTGATGAACGACGTTTGAGAAATGTTCTTCAATATACATCAATATCTCATGCTTGGGAAATACGGTTCACTCGTTATAACGAGCACTTCATCGTTCGCGAATTTCACATCTCGTGAAGAGTATATCATCGAAAACGCGGTTATTCGGAGCGTTTCGTCGATGAATTTTCCGATAACTCTCTTTCGGGATCGATCGAAAGTATTTTTCGATATTTTTGAAATATCAGTTTTATATTATCCTTTTCATTCTTTATTTTTTAATACTTTCTATTGTTTCTTTTTCCCTTCTATTTCTTTTTATTCTTCTTCTTCTTCTTCTTCTTCTTCTTCACTGAATTTCTATGTTAACCGAAATAAAAAAGTTGCAATATACAGAAAGAAGTTCGTATCTATGATGATAAAAGAACAGAACTTCGATATTTGACTTCGATGTACGTTATCGAGAAGTCTTTTTAATCCATCCCTAGGGAACTTTCTTTGATTCCTTGATCTTAGAAAAAGTTTAATAGAGATCGAAAAGGTCGATACCGGAATTTGTGGAACGTGACGTAATGTTCGTTAGTAACTCAGTAGAAAATCCTTTCTGCGTTATCGAATCGTTCAATATCGATACGAGGTGGAGATAGTCTGGAAAGAAAGTTTCTTTCTTTCTATTTCTCTCATTCTTCCTATCATTTTTATATAATTTTCTTTAGGAATATAATTCACCTTGAGAAAATCGTAACTTTCATAAAAGGGTCCACGAAATGGTGACGCTTATTTTCTAGTTGTAGGATGAAACGATTCGCCCGGAGGACTAATTACAGGGGTAGCTGCGTCACGAAATCAATTGTCAGCCGCAATTTCCTGGGGCAGGTAGATGCCGGCAACTCCGTTAGGCGATTAGGAGGAAGGAGATACGATTCGAAGCTAGGAATGGTTACGGTTACTCGTAGAGTCCTTCGATCGGCCGTAAAGGGTTGCTTAATTACTCCTCCATTTCCTTCCGCACAATTGGAATCGGATTTCTCCACGCGAGAACGACATAATACCGTTTGAGAGCTTCTCCCTCAATTCGCACAATAATACTCTATTGGTAATTCGCCTTACTTTACAATTAACGTACGATTTATTAGTCTTCGTTACATCTTCTATTAATATCTTAATTAAACAAGTTGAACAAAAAAAATAATACAAATTTGTGGCTTGTTCGTGTCAGATGTTTACATCGTTAACATGTTTTCATATATCTAATATTAGATCAATTATCTTTATCGATTGCTCCTGTTCCCTATAAATATATTCTAGATTACTATCTATATATATATATACATGACGGGAGATACTAGACATACTCTCTACGTTCACCACGGTTTATTTCCATTCCCCATCTGTCAATGGCGATGTACGGGATGCCTTAGTCGATCGTTCTTGAGACTGAAATTTATTGCATCCCCAGCCTCGACAGAGAATTTGGTATTGGGTTAAGGATGTCTGAAGTACGTGGACTCGTACGTATCTCGGAGCTTTGAATTAACTATTAAGTCTCTCTCTCTCTCTCTCTGTCTCTCTTTCTCTCTTTCTCTTTCTCTCACACAAACACACATACACATATATATACCTCTACTTACTCAGGGTCTCTTTCTCTTTAAGCATACGAGTAAAGGATGGTACGTTGCGCGCATGTAAACACATTTCCGCTTCAACTCAGCGCGCATTCTCGCGTGACGGCAACGAAATTGGTATACTTGTTTGACTCTCGGACGAACAAGAGAAAAAGAAAGAGTGAAATAGTGAGAATAATTTTCATCTAATATAACGAACAAATATCATTAAGACTTTGTTTTACACAAAAAAAAAAAAAACAAAATTTGCTTATTTTGATTGTCTTTCAGGCAACTGATAATAACTTATAAATTTTCTAAACGAATTAACTTAAATTTCATTTTCGCATTGGTCTTATTCTTATTTTTATATTGGTCTTCTTGGATATATCGTTTATGATATCGCTTGTCGAGTTAACGTCAAACGAACGAAATTCGACTATGCGGTTAAATTGTGTTTGCGTGCGACAATGATACAAAGTTAGTCGGTTAACCGTGTTTCTCTAATACCACTGCAAACTCTAAACACGCTTACATGCGGCAATGTCAAAAGCATTCCAATGATTTCATTAATTTGCAAGAACGAACGATTCTATCCGGGAACACGTACGTGCATACATATTTACATGAACACAGAATCGATTCCTTTTGTTCGATTTCCAATTGATTTAAAAATCTTCTACCTATTGACGTATTTCTTTTAACGTTTTAAAAAGTTTTATGAATTATATTCGAATATTTAATTCATTTATTTTATACGCAATCAATGAATAACAATATTTTACTTATTTAAGATAAATGATTACATTTCGTTATCTTATTAATTCTTAAACAATTTCGAAATACTATGAAAGAAGTTATTGAATAGGACATATATCTTTCCATGGATATATTATAGCTTAGTACGTATTCCATTACAGCGATTGTAACTACATTCTGCATACGTTGACAAGGTACGTCAACACCGTACCACGTCATCGGACTCTATAGAAACAGGAAGAGCTTTAAGGCAAAGCTCTGTATGTAACGTACAAGCCACTGTTTGCTTCGCACACGTGTGCATGCATTGCGAGCATGTGCGCAACAACAAAACGAACGCAATTAATTTCGTATGAAGATGGTCGGAAACAAATATACCTAGGATTTTATTCTTACAATTGCGACTATATTTCCTTCATTTTCTTTTATATATATATTATTTATGATTAAAAAATAAACGTGATTTAAGTTTTATAGAGGGTATCCTATATGAAAACATTTTATTCTACATTTTCGATTTAATTTTTTATATAAAACAACCACTTGTACCACTAGTTATTGGACACCCTGTATATTCGGTAATATATAAGATTGCACAATAGGTCTGTATGGTTTTTATCTAAATAAATAACACGGCAGAAAACTGTACGAACTTATCGGCCAATACCAAATATATATTAATATATGCATTAAATAAATAAAATTAAAAAAATATATAAGAATGTATTTTTTCTTAATTTCATGTCAAAGTATTACTGATGCATTACCTTTTTTGTTTCAGGTACGTATAAAAGAGAGACGTCGGAAACAGATGCCCTTTTCATGGGATAACGTGAGTGGGTGGTGAAAATGCTGCCGAAATCATGCATTAACGCAGGCTCGTTTGTATACTCTGTAAACGAACGTAGAATGCAAATAAAACGTTTATCACACTATTCTATCTTTCTCCATAATCTACTTATATACGATATAAACATGTATTTATATGTGTTTATTTATTTATTTATTATTTCACACGTTCCGTTTACTTTTGTCTATCTTTATTTGTTGCACTTCTTTGCTTCTATAAAATCTTCATATATTTTAGGTCAATGTAATCTCGATGGGATGAGCTGAGGATCTTCGAGCTGATTATACTTCGCACGTTTTACAAATATTTAAATGAAATTTTCATTCCTTCATGAAAAAATCTAATTTCAATCTAGTCGGAGTGTGAAAAATGATTATGACAGTACTTGAATATATCGTTTTTTCATTAATTTGTGCTTGTTTGTCCACTTTACTTGTTTATCTACTCACTTCTTTTATACTTTTATACGGAAGAGACGAAATTAAAGTGTAAGAGGATAATTGAATCCCGTAATGATTTTTATTTTCAAAAGAGCAAACGAAAGACAGATAAATCATTTCTTCTTTTTTCTTTGCCAAATATTTATTTTTACATTTTACCAAAATATACAATCGATTAAATCCTTATTCGAATTACTGAATTTGACTACAAAAAAAAATAATATAAAATAGGAGAAAAAAATAAAATGAATAAAAGGCAACCGATTTTTCAATAGTCGTTTGTAAATAATGTAAACGTGACAATGAAAAAAGTAGTGACAGCGATGTCCGAGCTTTTTAAAACTTATACTCTCTAACGAATAAAGTACTCGATATTTACACGCCAAAGACACACATACGCCTCTGACGCGTTAGCAATTCAAATAAGTCGTATACGTTGGCCGTCGATACGAAAAAAAAAGGATAAGAACGAAGAAGAAAAATATTTCAACAAATAATGGAATGTAAATAACGATCATAAGTCGTTCCTTCACGTCATTTAAAATAGAGTCTCATTTATATTTATCTCAGGGAAAGGATATTTCATTAAATAGAATCGAATGGGAGAACGTGGAGCTTGATTAAAATTACTCTTTTTAAATTAACCGATATAACTGACATGAGATCGAGAAAACAAGAAGGAGCATTTGATTAAAATAACTGTTTGTTTTTTTAATTTAAAGTCTTAACGAACGGATAAAAATCTCAAGGATCTTATATTCGCCTTTAGAGAGAATAATGAAAATTGAAAACAATTCGATGAGAAATTTCAATGTTTAATCAACGAAAAGGGGGAAAGAAATCGGAGATGTAATGGAAAATTATTAGCAAGTCATTTTCTCTCTCTCTCTCTCTCTCTCTCTCCCTCTCACACTCTTTCTTTTTCTTTTCTCTTAACAATGCGAAGTCGAGAAAATAACTGCAAGTATATATCTACGTGTTATATAATCTGTCAGTAAACGTCTATAGAATGTTTTTTTGTAATCTCATATCGAATTATTTTTTTCTAAACAAGAAAATAATTATTTTAAATCGAAATAGCCTGGGATAGGATAAAAGAAGTAAGAATGTAGAACGTTATCTTGATTCGGAAATGGTAATGGATAAATACAACAATGTTAAAGCGTGCTTATTCTTTTAAAGCCTGATCCGTCGACTTCGAATTTATTCTTTGTATTTTTTCTTTCTCTTCCACCTTCTTCAATGGCTCGAGGGTAGGCTGCGAAAAATAGGAAAAAGCTCGGACATTATGCGGCCGATCTCGTTCGAATAAATAGAGCGAACGTGCGCTTTCTACGATGAGACGAAGGGAAAAAGGAAAATCAAGTGGAAATGGGGACCGAAGACAACACCGGTAAAGGGGCATAAGGGGTGGCGAGCCGATGGATCCTTGGATGAACGAAAAGAGAGAAAGAAGAGAGAGAAAGATAGAAAGATGGAAGAAGGTCGACAGATTTGATGGGCTGGAATGGATCATTACCCTTCTCTTCTTTCTCTTTATCTATATCTTACTCTCTCAGGATTTTGCTCGTTCACTTTCTACGCCCTTGACGAAGGCGAAACTCTCGCTTGAAAATTCGCTGGAGCATCCATCGATCTGATATCGAACATGGGGTAACGGAATGAACAGCAATAACAGTGGCTGACACAGCCAACTTCGGGCTTACCCGTTTGACGAGGCGCGCCTCCTTTTATCTCTTCTTTGGCATAATCGCGCGAGTCACCGGCTCGTATTTGAACGATTTCATCCTTCGTTTGGTTGCCGATGTTCCGCGATTCTACGCGTTTTACGTTCGGTCAAGATAACGAGACAACGACGAACCCTCCTTTTGTTTTTCCTCTGTCGACCCTAACTAATCGTATTTTTATTCTGTTCTTATTATTATTATTATTATTTCTTTTCATTATCTCCCTTCTTTTGATGATCATCGAACATTTTCACGCATTCGTAATTTATTTTCCATCTCCATGTTTTTTTATTTTTTATTTGTTTTTTTTTTTTTCAGAATCGAATAAATTTATCAATTATCAACAATCGTTGGGAACGTTCGTTCTAATAGAATATCTTGTCCAGTCGTCTAAATTCCCTATCTCTTCTCTCTCGGTAAAGTGTGAAACGTATAACGTCAAGTATAACTAACGATCGGTCGATTCGCACGAACGAGAGGGGTGGCTCTTCGTCGTTGTCGTGGTATAAGCGAAGGATGGACGATGGAGATCGATGTCGTAACATTGAAGCCGAGTATCACGTACTCGACGCATCTCCTGCATTTAATGTCGCCGCTGCTAGGATTCTCTCTCGGAACTTTCGTGAAAGACCCCGAACCTTTCTCAGCTATCTATCGTCGAAAGATGGATAGTAGTAGTACAGATAAAGAAGAAGAAGAAGAGGAGGAGGAGGAGGAGGAGGAAGAGGAAGGATAGTGGAAAGAAAGCGAAGGGTTGTACGAAGGGGTGATGAGAAGGGAGGTTGACTAGTTCGAAGAAAAAGTACAATACTAGTTCAGAGAAGGAAAGAATGCTCGATGAACACAATGACCATGGTAAATTTCTCGTTCGGCCTTGCCGGAGAATTCGTCTTACCTTTTCTTTTTTTTTTTTGTTATAGATTTTCTGTTTTTTTTTTCTTTCTTCCTTTCTTTCTTTGTAGAATTCTTGTTCGTTGGTAGTACGCCATCAACGCGCGGTACCTTCCGGAACCTCCATTTCCGGCCTTGATTCTCTCTTTCTCTCTAAGTTTTTACCTTTTTCTTTATTCTTCTTTTCACGATGAGAGAAAGAAGCTCGCTCGAAACCAATTTATATTACGTTTTATAGGATATACGTTCGCGAGAAAGTTATCGCTTCTCGATGAAACTGAAATTTCTTCGATTTATCGTTACGTACTAAATTATCTGGGAATTTCTTGTTCACGAATTAGGCGTTCCTATCCGAATGTCGTATTTCATTATCTATCTTTGAATTCTAATATTTGTAATCGTTTTTTTTTTTGACAATTTTATTTTATCATTATCTTTCATTGATCTTCATATTTTTTTTTTCTTTTTTTTTTTTCATTTAAACATAATCCAGAGTAAGTGAGAGAAAGAGAGATAAAAAAAATTGACGGAAAGAGAAAAAATTTTTATCATACGTATGCATCGTATCATTCAATAAAAAATTTAATCAACGAACTTTCGGTCCTGAAACGAAATAAAATTCGTTAAGCGGATATTGTAATTCGACATATTAAGGATAACGAAATGAATCACAGGAGCTCCATTCAAATTTGTAAAAGGGAGAGAATTCCTTTATTCTTTGAGAAGCTCGTTTATTGTCTTCCTTCTCGTTTTCTTTCCTTTTATTCTTTTTTTTTTTTTTTTTCTTTTCATTTTTTTTTTTATTTTAACTACCACCGTACTTCAGAGCTTGCGACGGACAATTGAATTTTCTGCGAGTCTGCTTGGAAAGTCGCGTTGAAGTTCGATTAAAACTTGAAAGGTGTTTACGAAGTTCAGAGGAAAAAATTCACGCGGTTTCTAACACAATTTTGTATGGCGCCGAGTGTTTCCTAACTGGGCGAGAAATTAATTCTTTGCGATGTTACGTAGAGTCAGACTCGAGATCTCAATTAAATCCACGTTAAAGTCAATTATTTTCTTTTTATCTTTTCCGTGAATAAAATCACGAAGAAAATTAATTGAATGAAATATATATATATATATATATATATATATATATATACATCCTGAAACTAAATATCCAATATCGAATAATTGCAGAGCACTGAATATGTGACGGTAAAAAATAGATTAGATATTAACGAAGTTTATTTTTGAAGATATCGATGCTACACATATATATTCAAGGATAAAATTGTAACAAAATTTTATTCTTGTACAAAACTAAGATGAAGTAAAAAATAAAAAAAACATTCCAATGATCTAATATTTATGAGATAAATCCGCAGATCTGATTGGTCTCTAGGATATCGTCGAAACTTCGTCCGATGGATTCGCTCGCGCTTAAAAAGAGACGAGCGAATCGAAATGGATTTCTCGGTTTTGCGCTGCGGATAACCCAGGAAATAAATCGCACGAAAGAATTTCCTCGCAAAGTGGTTATTTCTGATCGAAATTTATATCGAAAGTAAAAGGACCACCACCACAGACACACACACACACAACTAATTCAACCTTTCGCCAAGCATCGTGGAATGCTTGTGTACGTATAAATACTAGTGTACAAAGCACTCTTCGAATATTTTTACGAATAAATGAATAATTTTGAAGTATAATGAACAAACAAAATTAAAGGAAAACATTCCGTTCGATGATAACTCAAAAGGAAAGGAAATTATAAAATTGCATCGCACGAGCATGTGAACGTTATTAATTGAATAAATAAAACATATGAGATTTCTATTCAATAGAAATTTCGAATTTAATTATCTTTGTAAATGGAAAATATAGAGATAAACGATAAAGAGGAGAAAAAGAAATTTCATTTAAATCCAGTAGACGATGATTTTTACGAACAAAATAGAATTTCATATCTTTTGTAAAAAGAATGTAATAATTTGTCAAGTTCGATGACTAATATTAAAATAGTCAAAATAAATGACAAC